TCATCATCATCACCATCGTCACCACATCATCATCACCACCATCATCATCGTCACCATCACCATCATCACCACCATCATCATCACCACCACCATCATCATCACCACCATCACCATCATCATCACCACCACCATCATCACCACCATCATCACCACCACCACCATCATCATCATCATCATCACCATCATCATCATCACCACATCATCATCACCACCATCATCATCACCACCATCATCATCGTCACCATCACCATCATCACCACATCATCATCACCACCATCATCATCGTCACCATCACCATCGTCACCACCATCACCATCATCACCACTTGTCAATTACTGTGTCCACTCCCTTACATACACATATTATTATTTCATCGTCACTACCACCCCCAGAGGTCCTACAACAATGTAGTAGTGATGGAGCCAGGATTCAAACCCAGACCTTTCTGGCTCCAAAACCTGTGCTCTTCACAGCCAAAATATATGCCTCTTGCCTCTGTGAGTATGAATCCAGGAGATAATCCAGACTGAGAGACTCCTAGGCTAGGGCCGGGGACCTTGGGGAGATGGTACAACAAAGGTTTGGATCTCAGCTCCACCACATCTGCCATCTACCTGGATCTCAGGCAGGTGTTTTGGTGTTTCTAAGCCTCCATGTCCTCGTCTGTAAAATGGGGGTAATAATCCCTAAGGCAGTTGTGAGGGTTGAAATAACACCCAGAGCCCTAGCATCACACCTGGCACAGTCAGTGCTCAGAGTTATTATGGTGACAACTTAAGGTTCCTCAACACACAAGCACAGGGAACAGAGGTGGTGCAGAGTAGGAAGCTAGGTGCTAGGCAGGGGGCTAAGAGACACGTCTACCCCAAGGTCTGTCCCGCAGCCCACCTCTGCTGGTAGGCCTGAGCAGACTGCTCAATGGCCGTGTTCATGGTTTGCTTCTGCATCAGCAGGTGCCGACGGAGCTGCTGGTAGACGTGGTCATAAGCAGCCTTCTCGTACCGCAGGTCCTCGATCTCCTTCCGGAGCTTCGCGTTGGTGGTCATCATCTTGTCAAAGTGCACGGTCACCTGTGGGGAGGGCCATGCTTCAAATCAGGGCTCACTCCTGGGGCATGACAGAAGCTTCCGGAAGGCAGCCGGAGGGTTGGAAGGTCTTCCCCTCACTTCCCACTCCCAGGCCCACAGACAGAACAGCAACGGGAGTGCTGCGAGAGAGGCTTGAGTTGGCCACCAGCTGGCTAAGCAGCCTTTGGCAAGTTCTATTGTCCTGGATTTCACATTTCTCAACTACTTTTATAGCTAATTTCCAGTTTTTAGCCATTACGGGGGAGAGCGGAACACCATGAGGAAACGATCAGCCAAATCCAGAAGGTAGGACTTTCTACAGGAAAGTTGGTGGCATGAAGAGAGTTGGGGGTGCTGTTTTAGGGCAGGGCTTCTCCAGCTCATCACTGTCGGCATTTGAGGCTGGATGATTCTTTGTGGGGCCGTCCTGTTCTCTGTAGAGCATTAAAGAAGCATCCTTGGTCTCTACTCACAGTAGAGATGCCAGTAGCACAGTCCCTCAGCCCAGTTGTGACACCAAAGCTGTCTCCTTGTGGGGACAGTGTCCCTCTGGGGGCAAAATCACCGCTGACTGAGAACCACTGTTCTAGATTAAAGAACTTGAAGAGAGCTAACAAGGAACTAACTAACTGAACCTTGACTGGCTCCAACTTTATAAGACATTTTGGGGCCAGTCAGAGGAAGGTTAATATGGGCAAAATTAAGGAAATAGTATTAATTTTGTAAGGTGGGATAATGGTCTCATGGTTATGAAAGAAAATGTTTGATTTTTAGAGATGCAAACTGAAGAATTTAGGGGTGAAGTGTCACGATGTCTGTAATTTACCTTAAAATATTTCAGGGGAGAAAGGGGTGAAACAAATACAGCAAAATGTTAATAATGATTAAATCTAAGTGATAGGTATGTGGGTGTTTATTATTTTAGTCCCTCAACTTTTCTACATGTCAATAAAAAAAACTAAAAAAAAAAAAAACAGGTATTGTGAAGTGCTCCCATAGACATTGAAAAGAAACAACTACAAAAAGTATTCCTAAGGGTAAGGGAGTAGATTTGATCAGAGATTTTCAAAGCACATTCTGAGAACCTTGGGTTCCTGCAGGTGAGGAAGCCAGGGTGCAAAATTTAAGGAGGCATGCAACTTTGAGGCTTGTGGAAATGGAGAGTTGACCGGGGACGCAGTGAGTGCCCAAGTCCCAGCCCTGGGTTCCTCTGTAGAGTGTCCGTAGCCCCCACACAAGGGAGGGGAGCCTGGGAACAGAGCATTCTTATGCTACCTCTGTATCCTCTACCCACACTTAGGAAGATGTTAGGTATCAGTCATTTGCACTTTAGGGTGAATTTTTCTCCAGGACTGTTGGCATGCTACCGTCCTCTAACTGTGGGATAAAGATCTGACCCCTGGGGAGGACTCTCAGGCCTCACTGTGTAGGTGGAGGAGACTTTAGGGTCATGGGGTTTTCTGGGGCCCTGAAATAACCTGTAGAGATGACTACCTAATCTACTAAAAGGAACAGCCAGACCCGGTCAGGGAGGAAGGGAAGAGGGGACCAGTTTGCAATACAAAAAGGCAGATCTCTCGGAAATGAAAGAGGAGACATTACTATAGACCTTACAGAAATAAGAAGAATGATAAGAGAATATACTAGGAAGAACTGTATGCCAACAAATTAGGATAACTTAGATGAAAGGGACAAATTCCTAGAAAGAAACAAACTACCGAATTGACTCAAGAGGAAATGGGAAATCTGAATAGACCTATCGCAGAAAAGTGAACCTCTACAGACATCATTAAATCATGCATGCATTTATTCATTCATTCAGTCAGTCAACAGATGTTTGCTGAGCACCTACTCTGAGCCTCACACTGTGCCAGGCATTACTGATTCTTAACCAAGGGGACCTTCCGCCTCACCAGGGTTGTTGATAACAGTGCAGATGCCTGGTCTAAGCCCTGGGGGTTCTCATTCAGTGAATCTGGAGGTGACCCAGGAATCTGCATTGTAACACACATCCTTGGCATTCTGAGGCATGGCTGCAAATTGCTATGCACGGATATTAAAAAGACGCTGCCCTGCCCTCAGGCCACGTCCAGGCTACTGGGGGAGGCGGACAGAGATCAGAACCGATCAGCTGCAACCACACCCGGTGGTCAGAGTTTTGGGGAAGCTAAGAGCTTTGTGCAGTGAGGCAGTGACAGGCTTCCCTCCAAGTCAATTCAGTTCCCTCCCTCCTGGCTCATGTTGTGGGGGCTGCAGTTTCACAAGCCAGACTGGACGGTGTTTGCACCTGCCCAGCGTTCCTTCTCCCTTTCTCTTTGCTTTTCCAGGGGAACCACTTCTCCCCGACTCTCAGCCCACATAGGTGTATAGGGCTGCCCTCCCCCAACTTGTGGGGGGGCGGTCCAAGGGTAGTCACGTGACTAAGTCCATGTATTCCATTCTTATGACCACAGCGATTGGTTTGGGGATGGGCACATGATAAAGCTGGCCCAGTGGGAACCCTCTCTGGGACTTGTGATTGAACAATTAGGGAAGAGATGCCCCTTTTCTGCTGGCATTTGTTGACATTGGAGACTGCCCAAGAATGAAGTCATCTCCACCCAGAGGAGAGATGGATGGAGAAAGTGTCCTAAAGACATGTTTGGAGCACCTGGATCCAGCTATGCCTGAAGGCCCTATTTCTCCTCCTGAATTTTTCAATTCTGCGACCAATACATTCCCGGTTTTTGCTTAAGCTAGTTTGCAATTTAGAGAATCCTGCTTAATGCCAAAGTCACTGTAAATTGAAGGTGATCCAGAAACACCACTTTTCTCTTTATCAAGTCATGCATGTCTATGTCTGATATTTCTTAGAGACATCATCAACAACCAAAAGACGCTAGCTCTAGTAGAGGCATGAGCAGATTGCCACAGGGGATGAAGGTCTAACTAATTCTGCCTGGTGAAGGGCCATATTTGAGCTGCATCTCAAAAACCAGCAGGAGTTTTTGAGGCAAGGAACTCAGACAGGCATCCCAGGAGGGTGAGAGTTGGGGCGAGGGGGACAACAGCACGTGCTGAGGTGCAGAGAGCAAGGAGAAAGGCACCCTGGACAACAGTGGGCCACAAGTGGGTGGAACAGAGTGGGTGGAACAGAGAGGGCGGAGCAAGGTGGCTGGACGGTGAGTGTAAAAACCTGCCTGGCCTGGACGAGTACCGTTAGTTCACCTTCTCCCGAGTCAACCAACCAAGTGGGTTCAACGCTGCTAACGGCTCCGCAGACGACACCCCTACTCTGAGCAAAGGGAGGCAGAGCTGTTTGCAAAGCTGCAGATAACACCTTACGTACGAGATTCAAACGGGTTTCCAAAACGTGGATCTGTTTTTGCAGTTTCCGAGGGTTATTCGCCTCCTGCATTTTTGTGAAGATCTGTTTTTGGTTTATAATTTTTTTTTCCATCTGAACAATCTGAAAAAAAAATGAGAGAGAGAAAACCCAGCTGTGTTAACATCTGTATGGGTACAAATTCTACAGTTCAGTAACTCAAACGTGCTAAAATAAAAACGGCAATCTTCTTTCTTTTCCTAACAATGGAATTTTAATTTTAATTTTAATTTTCTTTTCCTAACAATGGAATTTTAATTTCCCTCTTGGATGCATGCTCAGTTCAACTTAATCTTGGCCAATTTGGGGTAAACTGAGGCAATTTAGAGTTTTTGCTCTTGCTCGTGCATGTAAATTTCACTCACCCGCGGGCATAAATTCCACTTCACCCTAAAGCCGAGGCTTCCAACAGAAATAGTATTGTCCCCCCGGGGGCCTCCTCTAGTCTTGTGGAGTGTTTTTGGGGTCTTGCAATGATAGGGGCACTTCGTGGTCGGGTCACGAGACGCCACACTGGGTTTGGAGAGGCCGAGGTCCTTGTTGACCCCGAGAGCGCGGTTTTGGTGGAGGGGACGTTGCTGCCATCACTGGGAGAGGTAGGGGAGACAGTGCCCACCCTAGAAAGGGAAACGGAATGCAGACGACTCCTTCTAGACAATTCTAGAAAGGAGGAGAGCTGGCAGTAACTTGGAGCTGCAGGAGCGTTGTGTTTTGTGTTTGGTTTTTAGATTTTTTTAAGATAAAAGAGACAGGGGAAGGACATCTTGTGGAGAGAGGGTAGAGAGGAGAGCAAGAAGGACGGTCACTCATGGAGCCAGGCCTGCACGGAGGGCGGCGGCACAGGAGGGCCCGGCCTTGCAGAGGAAGGGCAGCGGGCACCTCTTCCTCTGAGGCCCGCGGACGGAGCAGAGATGGAAGGATGCGGGGCCGAGGGGCAGGGGAAGGTGTGGCTGCCACGATCTCTTAAAGCAGGTGAAACTCCACTGAGGCATCTATGTCCAGAGGACCTCCTGCCAAGTCAGAAGTAAACATCCTCGATGCAGTGTGCTGCCCTGGGTTGGACCTGGGACGGTAAAGGGACATTAATGGGAAGACTAGCCAAATCCAGAAAAAATCCGAAGTTCAGTTAATGGTATTGTACCAATGTTAATTTCTTACTTTGACAAATGTCTCACGGTGACGTTAAGATGTTCACGGGGGAAACCGGTGGGGGGTATATGGGAAGGCTCTGTATTATCTTTGTAACATTTCTGTACACGTAAAATGATTCCAAAATCAAAAGTTTATTAAAAAGTAATTGGTGAGTAAATATCCCTTTGGTGCAAGCTTCTCTTTGGTTGGGTGCTATGTTACCTGCAGCCCAAAGCATTCCTACCTGACACGCCATGGACCTTACTCATGAGGACAATTGATTCTGACTTCAAGTAAGTGAAATATACCCTGCCACGGCCGGCAGGAAGAAATTCTGATGTCTCTCTCGAGCCTTGTACCCCAGCCAAGTCCCCAGGCCCAGACACCTCCCCGGCACCTTCCAGAGAGCTCACCCCATTGTTTCTCATATGAGTGCCAGCAGATCGAGACACTTTTGCACATTGCCAACAGTGTGCATGATCGACTTCCCGTGTGGCTTTGGTCCACACCAGGCCACTATCTACTTTATCTGCCCAATATTTGGCCCCACATAGAAGCAGCTGCCTCCTGCTAAATCCTAGTGGGTTCTAGGGAAGTTTGTAGAATTTTCATCTGAAGAAAATGCCTTTGAAGACTGGTGAGTGCAGGTCCTGAGTGCAACCCAGGTACTTTCGTTTCTCAGGGTTTGGGCCGAGACTAAGCGCTGAGACTTTTTTGGAACCGTGGTGGGTGAAGGCAGCAGGGAAAGGAAGGGGATGCTGTCATTTTAAACGACCTGGTGTGTTCCTCTTTGTCTTAGAGGTGGTGGCTGGAATTCACCTTTGAGGATAGTCTGAAGCCCAGCTCCTGTTCTGGAACGTGGATGAGAGAGGTCAGGTGCTCGGCGTGACAAAATATAAAGTTTCTCAGCCACATGGAGGCCGGCCTCCAGTGCAGAGCTGGGGCTGATAAGTTCTAGGAGCAGTTGCATCTGGGATCCTGTATGAGCATCCGTGAGTCTTAACTCCCTTCAGTTACCTATCCCCAAGCCCTCAGGAGAGTCTATACAGCACCGTCTCAGCTATCCCCGTGGACATTGAGAGAAAAATCTATACCAGGGGTTGCAAACTGCGGCCAGGCAGGTGGCAAAGAAGAGTAAAGTGGGCCAGGTCGAAGACAACGTGCGATGGCAGAGACTGTAGCAAACTGGAGTACCCACACCGGGCTTGAGGGGCAGCAGCTTGTATCAGGAACACACACAGCTACAAATTACAGAAAGCCAACTACACGTGGCCGAAAAAATTTATGGGTTATCTTTCTCTCATAATAGGTGGTGGCTTAGGTTTAGTAGCTCAAGGAAGTAAGCACAAGATCTCTGTAAGGCACCTGGCCTTTCCCTTATGGTCAAAAGATGGCTGCCACTGCACCAGCCTTCACAGTCATGTTCCAGGGAGGAAGGTAAAGGAAGCAATATGGATGAAGGGGTAGGACCTATATATGGAAAGCAAAAGCTTCCCAGACACCTGCAACAGACTTCCCCTTAAATTTCATTGTCCACTTTTAGCTGCAAGAGAGGATGGGAAATGTAGCTTTTCAGCTGGGCACACGACCACCCTGAACAAAGTCAGGAACAAGAGAGGAAGAAGCAGAGAACGGGTAAACAGCTGGCAGTGTCACCCACAGCACTATTTAGGTCCTGTTGCCCCATGGAAATTCAGGCCTGATGTCGCCAGATCTTCCGGTTTTTGAAAGAGAAGCCACATATCCAAATTTCAACATGAAATCTCCCAACTTTTAACATGTTGTTAACTAATTAAAATAAATTTCAAGCACGGGGCCAAAGCCGTCACGTTGCCAGGCTTAAACTGTCCTGAGGCCGCCCGCCTGAGACCCTCGGTCCACACCCGCATTTGGGGTGAGGAGGAGCCACAGCAGACTGATGAGAGCTGGTTTACAGGCAGCAGGCGATGCCCAGCAGAAGGCGGAAGAGTGGTCCCGAGCCGGAGACCTGGCAGAGGTGACACCAGGACCGAGATGGACACGGCGGGTGGCTGGCCCACCCCGGAAGCCTGACCCGCGCCGACCACGGCAACTCTGCTCTCTCTGCCTACCATTTACTCATTCAGGGCCGGACAGAACCAGACCAGCTGGTGCCTCTGAACTGAGAAGGGAGGCCTGGTAAGGAAGCTTCTGGAAAAAGTCTCCTCATCCCTAAAACAGAGTCACAGGAAGAGATGGTCCGTCTTCTCCTGAAGATATTGTCCCGTCTGCATGCAGTGCCTGGAACCACGCTGCCACCTTGCCCCCAAGGATAGAGACAAACCCCTTGATAACAGCACTGAGCTGCGGAATCAACCAACCCTGAAGCTTGCCGTATCTTTGCACCTCCTGTTAGACGAGACACGAACATTTTCTTTTCGCCAGGAGTCTACTCAGGGAAGGTGGGCTCTGCCCCCAGCCCAGGGGACAAATATTGGTCTAAACCAGGGGCTGGAACACTTTTTCTTGTTTTTGTTTTTGTTTTTGTTTTTTTGGTGAGGAAGATTGGCCCTGAGCTAGCATCTGTGTCAATCTTCCTCTACTTTTTATATGTGGGATGCTGCCACAGCGTGGCTTGATGAGCAGTGCACAGGTCTGCACCCAGGATCCAAACCTGCAAACCCCAGGCCACTGAAACGGAGAGCATGAACCTAACCACCATGCCACCACATCGGCCCCTGGAACATTTTTCTTAAAGGGCAAGATAGTAAATATTTCAGGCTTGGAGGACCAAGAAGCTATTATGTAGGTACTCATATAACCATTCTTTGCTGGAGGGCCATACACAGACCAGATTTGCCCTTGCACAGTAGCCTGCTGCCTGTGGTCTACCCCAAACTAATTATGGACATTCCATTTGCCAGTGATTGGCCTAGGAGTGGGCATATACCCTAGCCCTGGTCAATGAGGGAAAATCTGCTGGAGAGACTTTGTGAACTGCTCTCTCCCTCATAAGAAGTGAATATCATGTGAGAAAACCCCCCAGCCCTTCTTCATATCTTTGAATTTGATTATGTGAGAAGCTACACCAGCTAACTTTTGGCAGCCATCTTGTGACCATGAGGAGAGGGCTGACCAAGAGGATCAGAGAGAAAAATACCAACCCGTCATTGTAGAGCTGCTAAACCACGCCCGGGATGACCTATTTCCAGACAGACATCTTATACGTGAGAAAAACAAACCTCTATTCTCCCAGCCACTTCCAGTCAAGATTTCTCGTACTTGCAGCCCAACACATTCTCACTGGTACATCAAACAAGATGGCAGCTCAGACGATCAGGCATCAGGGGAACCGCTGGGTCTCACACAGACTGGTGAGGCGTATGAACGCTGTTTAGGACTGATATCAGCCAGGCTTCGGACTTCAGCTGGAAGACACGCACCCCCTCCCCCCCAAATTCCCTCAGAGCATCAACAAAGCTGCATCAGCCCCGACACAGTCAGGTTCCAGTCAAGTCGGGGTCCCTCTCCTGTTTGTTCTCTCCTGTTCTACGCACAGGCAGCATCCTCAACACAACCCTCCACCAACTCACCTATGAAACAAACGGCTCTTAACATACGGGAGGGCAGGGTCCCCAGACCGCGGTGTCGCCTGCTCTGAGGGCCGCCACCCCCGCCGGAGCTGACCCCGGGTCCCCAGGCCCCAGCTGCTCGTCCAGGGCAGCTGCGGCGCGGCGCTCCCCGTGGCCCCGCGGTTGACTCCAGCGCGCTGTTCCCTTTGGCACCTTATGTCAGACGCGGCTTTTGTGACGCTGGGAGTGACTAGGCCTCGGCTGGATGGGAGACGTTACCCAAGGCAGTGACAGCAGATCTACAGCCTGCACACGACGCTGTCCCCGCAGGAAGGCACAGGCCTGCTCCTCATCCTGCGCGGCCGGGTGGGCCCGGGGGGGCGGCCTCCAGCGGCCTCTGCGGGGACGAAGCTCTGGGCGGCCGTGGCGCCCCCCGCAGGAGGCGGTCTGGGGCCTGCCCGCCCGGGGCGGCACGGGGCAGAGGGGCTTTTGTGTTGGGCAGCGAGCACCCTGTTCTTTTGAGGATCCCAAACGAGGCTGCCTTTTCCTAACGTTCCTGAGGAGCCACGTCCCCAGCTTTTCTTCTCTTTTACTGCCTCCTCTCTCATTCATTCATATATTCATTCATTCATTCATTCCTCAATGTTATTAGCACCTCTCGGTGCTGGACAGCAGGGGTGGGGCGGTAACCAAGGCAGAGGGGTCCCTGCCCTCAGGGAACGTCCAATCCGGGACTGGAAACAAGCCAGGAAGCGAGACCGGCCCAGCAGAGGGCAGACAGGAGGTGCTGTGGACGCGCACAGTAGGGGCACCCAGCGGGGAAAGATGAAGGGCCGACCACCAGCAGAAACAGTGTTAGACCTGAGACCAGAAGGATGGCGAGGAGTCCCCACACAGAGAGGACAGGGCAGGGCACTCAGATGGAGGGAACAGCACGTGCAAGGGCCCGGAAGCGAGAGGCAGCCCGGTGGGTTCATGAAGGCGCCAGCGTGGACGGACACAGAGGAGGCGGGGCGGGACAGGGGGTGCAAGGGCAGGAGGGGCCGCTGCAGCAGAGCCTGCAAACCACACGGGGGTCTGGCCTTCATCACAAGAACAACAGGAAAGTACTGAAGAGTGTGAAGCAGAGCAAAGATGTAACAAGATTCCCAGATTCAGCCGGGGAATATTTACCGAGGACCTACTATGCGCCGGGCCTGGGATGGGCACAGGGGGCACGGGGGGAACAAAACAGACATGGTCGCTGCCCTCGTGGAGGTGACGGGTTAGGGAGATGTCAGAGGACACCGTATTAAGGCATAACCACCACTGTGAGAAGAGCTAAGGAGGTGGCGCCATGGGCGTCATAAAGAGGATAAGGGGGTGTGCTGGGATCCTCCATGTGCCCCCCAAGATCCACTCTCCGCCCCGCCCCACCCACCCTGCTCCGTGCCCCAGGAGGCTGACCGGGAAGGAGCCCACAATGCTCCCTAGCACTGGGGAGCAGAGGGTGAGAGGAGAGAGAGGGTGGGGTATTTATTCCCTCCCCCCACTTGCTCTCTGTCTTCAGGTTCTAGAATGTTCCCCCTGCCCACTGTGGCTAACCCTACAGTGCTCCAATGTCCCTACTCCATGCTCACACCCTTGCAAATCGTCCCTTCATAAAACTCTTCTCAAAGTACCCTACTGAGTGTGCTGTTTGTTCCCTGCCAGGAATCTGACTAACACAAGGGGGACTTACTTTAAACTGGAGAGAGGACATAAGAAAGGCCTGCCTTAGAAAGGCATGTTTAGGTTGATATCAAAAGGACAACCAGCTGGAGGAAGGAGCATGTGCAAAGGCCCTGAGGTGAGAAAAGGCTTAGCATATTTGAAAAAAAGTCTTGCGGCTGAGGTGAGATGAGTTAAGGAGGGAATGGTGTGGGTGAGGCCAGGGGCAGGGGCTAGATCCTGCATGCCCTTCAAGCCATAGTAAGGGATATAGATGTTAATGCTGTTCAGCAAATATCTCTAGGTCTTTGCCTTCCGGATCCAGGGGAGGGCTGTACTACCCTTTTGTGGATGGGTAGAGTTGACTATTTTGGGTATGGGTATGGGTATTTAGGGCATATATGGGTTTGGTAGACTACTTTGAGCCAATGAATCATGAGCAGAGGTGACACACATCACTGGAGCATTCCATTGCCCATGTGAGACCCTCCAGAATTCTCTTTTTCCCTACCACAACACCTGGCAATGTTCAAGATGGTGGCTATCCCATCAGCCTGGTCCCAGGATGAGAAGATATAAGAGCCCCTAGGCAATCCATGACAGACATGAAGCATGAACGAGGAAGAAACCCTTACTGTTTTAAACCACTGAGTTGGGGGGATGTTTGTTACTGCAGCATAACCTGACATCCCTGACGGATACAGTGAGGATGTGGGAATTTATTCTAAGTGCAGTGGGGTGGCGCCGAGACCACAGTGGAGGAGTGGATCAACAGAGCTGGAGGCTAGGGCCCACGGGCGGCAGAGAGAACAGGCACCGTCATGTTTATGGTCGCGGTGGGTACAGGGGTGTCAGATCTGGCTAAGGCATCACGGGTGCCGCCCCCACTCCTCCTCCTTGCCCTGCTCGGTTAACCCCTGCAGAGAAAGACCACACCTTCTCGTCCAGTTCAGCCAGCAGCGTTTTCATGGATTGAATCAGGGCCTCGTAGTCCTCCTTAGTTTGCAGCAGGAAGCGCAGCTCCACGTAGTTTCTCTCGTTCAGATCCAAGTTCCTCGAGGACTTGACGAGACTCAAAAGCAGGGCGATCTCATCCTGCTCCTCCTGCAGGCTCTTGATTTCCTTGCTGTTGGGGAAGCAGCTCACGATCAACCCTGAAGCCCCGAGCCTACCTTGATCCGACGCTCCAGGCCCCTCCGTCCTGAAAGGAGACTCGGAGAGGTCCCCCCCGCCTGAGCCAGGGCAAGGGACCTGCCCCAGCCTCCGTCCCGGCCCAGAGCTCAGAGCGCCCGTGCCCCGCTTCCCGGCAGCTCCCACTGCCCCCCCTCCCTGAGAGGCAGTTTCCCCAGGGAACGACTTGCCGCTGTGCCTGTCAGAGCCCGTCCCCTAGACGTTGCAGGAGCCCCCAAGCTCTCTTTTGCTGGTGGCTCCCTGGCATCTGTCTGATTTCACAGCCTTGCCCTCCGGACTTTACAACCAATTATCTCTGGTAATGAGACACAAACCCATCAGGCAGGACTCTTCAATTTGGCATCAACACAGAGATGCACGGTAACCTCTAACCTCCGCCAGCGTCTCGACTCAGGGTGCTAATGATTTATTAAATTGGCTGACACGCGTCTCCCCCTTTCTCTCCCTCTGTCTACTCGGGGGATGCGGGAAACAGGGATTTCAAAAAGAGAAAAGAAGGCTCGGGTGACGGCACAACATCTGAACAACGGGAAATGGCCCGGAGGCTGAGTTTCTGGCAAAGTCTGAGCACCCTACACCCGCTACTCAGTGCGGCTTGTGGACCAGCCGCCTCACCATCCTGGGGAAACTCGGGGAAATGCAGACGCTCAGGCCCCAACCTGGGACCAGGGGAATCAGAACCCGCTTCATAACAAGATCCTCAAGTGACTCGCATGCACCTTACGGTTTTGGAAGCACTGCTCTAGAACAGCAAAGAATGTTCTAGGGCAGGGGTCTGCAAACCTTTTTCTGCAAAGGGCCAAAAAGTAAATATTTTAGACTATGCCGGCCAGATGGCCTCCGTTGCAGCCACTCAACAAAGTGACCACAGGAAATGCGTAAGTGAATAGGCGCGACCGTGTTCCAGTAAAACTTTATTTACAAAAACGGGCTGCCAGCCAGACTGGGCCCATGGGCCGTGGTTTGCCGACCCCCGTTCTACAGCAGCCCTGCCCAACGGAATGTTCTACAATGATGGAAACGTCCTCTATCTGCGCTCTCCAATAGCATCCCCCAGGCACGTGCCACTCCTGAGCTAGCGCAACTAAAGAACTGAATTTATTTCATTGATATTAATTAATAACAAATATAAATGGCCCCTTGTGGCTAGGGACCCCCGGACCGCACACCTGAGTTTAGAGCAGCTTGTCTTCGAAACCCAGCAGCTGGCTTCTCCCCCTCTTAAGCCCCTCTTGGGAGGCAGTCTTGGTTAAGGTGCAGAGAAAAGAGACTGAACACAGCAGCCCACCAGAGTTAGGCTTGCAGGGGGAAGAGGGGTCATAAAAGGAAAAGAAGGTCTGTCTGTGTTGTAGGCAGGGCTGGGCCTGTGAGGCCGGGGTGAGGCACCCACACTTTAAGGTCTTCATTCCCAGGGTCAGCACTGGGAGAAAGTGCCTCCTTAAATACTGCACCCGAGGCACCCCACTCCCCTCACCCCAGTTCTGGCCCTGCGTACAGCTGTTTCACTCTGAAGAACGGAACATCCCCACGCTTCCACATCCCCCTCTTCAGTTCCATCACAGTGAAACCAGATCAAATGGACTGGGGTAGGGTAGCGTGGGGGTGCAGAAGGGTAAGTAAGGTTCAAGAAAAACTGTCAGAGACACACCCGGAAGCAGGCATTTCCTGACGCCCACCAGGGGTAGGCTGTGAATCAGGGTCGCCAGGCACAGATGTGCAGGTTGTGGACTGCACAGCCCAAGGGAGCCCCATCTGTTTGAAAAAACATCACTGATTTGTTGATTTATTACACGTTTCTGAGAGACACTTTGTCTTGTTCTAATAAAATCCCTACAGAATGACAACGTTTCCAAGAGATGGCAGTAAAGGGTCTGGACAAAGGGTGCCTTTTTCTAATGCACGTGAAGATCCCATACAGACCAGCAGTGGCTCTGAGTGAGTGAAATCCTTTTCCCTGTCCTCTGAACTTCACACACCAGCTAACAGTAAAATTTTCTTTCTAATGATGGGCAGTTTCTTCCTGTACAAACATTGTGGATGTAGCTAAGGAATTACGCTCCCTTGGAGGGCAACTGAGAACACTTGTTTCATCTTTGTTTATTCAACCCCAGGAACGCCTTTCTATTGCCCAAAGAAACTACACGCCATAATTTCTAGGGCAACCCAATTTTGAATATCCTACTTTGCAGATCCCATCAAGACACACAGGCAGGAAACGTTTGGGGTATCCCAGCCGGGTGACAGCCCCTTCTCTGGGAACTCCCGCCTCCACCACTAGAACGGTGGGAACAGTACCCACCGCCACTTTTTGTCCTGTGGTCCAACCCCCGCCACAGCTGATGGGACAGGAGAAGACACCTGACCCCAGATGAGCCAAGCAGACCCCCCTCTCCTGGAATCTGGGATTGGAATCGAATCCGGACTGTCTCTCTGTGTGGCCTTGGGTAGCGCAAGAGCTGGGGGCAGCCTGTCCCACCAGCCAGGGCTGAGATTCGGAGAGAGAAGAAAACCCACGTATAAAAAGAAACAGGAACCACGAGTGGTTTTCATCTGGGTCCTTCCCTGAGACACGGGTGCCCTGCGCCCCTGGGAGTCCGGAGGCACCCTGATTCTGAGAGTAAAGCCCTCTCCCCCCTGAAGCTCTCCCGGGTGGGTGCCCACCTGGGTGCAGAAGTGGGTCCCTGCCCCAGAGGCCACGTGGGCAGGCCCACGCAACCAGAGCCCCGCTCTGCTGCGAGCTGCCCGCACACGGCCCCGCTGCTCACCGCTGGCCGGAGATCTTCCGCTGCGAGTGGAAGTTGAAGGACTGCCGGCTCTCCACCATCTTCCGGAACTGCTGCCGCAGCCTCCGCAGCTCCGCCTCGGCCAGCTGCTCCTGGGTCTTCTCCGAAGGCTCCTGGGGATCCGCGGAGTCTTTCCTCTTGTGCTTCTTAGACTGGGTGAGACCGGGGCAGGAGCAACGGTTTAGGTAAGTAGAGAAACCCACATTGCAGCTCAAGGGCGGAGGCAGGAGGGGTGTCTGGGGCGGGGCTGGAGGTGGAAGACCACTCTTGGGTGATGTCAGCTGCTCATCTGTGACATGGAAAACCCGCCTGGGTTCAGGGTGGAGAGGAGACTGGCCTCATTATTGCATGCGGAAGAGGCGGCCTTGCTGTGTGACCTTGGGCGAGTCACTCAACATCTCTGAGCCTCCAGTCTCTCGTCTATAAAATGGTCGTGCAGAGATCTGTTGTCAGGATTAGATGAGCTAATACCTGTACCGTGGCCAGCACAGTGCCTGACCCGCAGTAAGCGCTGGGTACACAGGAGCTGTTATTACCTACCATGGGCATCTTGAAGGAATCGTGCTTCCCCTCTGCGCAGACACCGTCGTACTGACGGAGGTCAAAGCCGGCGAGTGCTCCTTTCTCTCTCGGTAATGCCCTGTCCACAGTGGTGAAAGGAAGAGACCTCGAGAGCCACCCCGGCAGCCCCCGGCGCACCCTCTCCCCTCCCCACCCCTGCATCCCGCCCCCCCCACCCCAGCTTGGCGCATGAGGAGGACAGGCAGATAGATGGCTGTCCGGGTGTGAGAAGAGGCTTCTTTTTTTTAAAGCCATGTTTGCCTGAAACCCGTTCCTCTCCCGATTTATTAGTAGGAGCCGGGCAGGTGGTTCCGGCGTGTCGGTTACCCTCCTGCTCCCTGTGTTCCCAAGGTGGCATCAGGGCGTGTGTCCCCTGATGGGGTGATGGTGAAATTTGCCCAGCTTCAGCTGTGGGGGACCTCCACTTTTAAAGCAGGAGCCAGTGGCACTGGAGGCATTTTTATCGTGTCATGACTTGAACCTCATCTGGCCCGTAGGTATTCAGAGGAGGGGACGACGTGTTAATCCTACCAGCCCTACAGGGCTGTAAGGCCACTGCATCCTGACTCCCAGAATTCGAGAGCTGGATTTCTAAGGCAGAAACTTCTAGCTTTGCCATCCACTGGGGATCCTGCCGGGCCGTGGTTTAAAGCATTGGTTGTGTCAATCATCAGATCTCAGCAAAAATGCCTCCTCGGCCAGTTATTAACTTTGGGCAAGTCATTTCAGTTCTCTGGGCCTCGGTTTGCTCATCTGGAAGACAGGAGACATTCTAGAAGCCATCTCGCAGGTGGTCGAGCCTGTAAAGCACTGAGCCTGGCACGTGGTAAGTGCTCCCTAAACAGTGGCTGGTGTGATGCGGGTTGTTCGTGGGCTGAAAGGCCCGTGTAATGAATGTTTATGAGGCTTGAGGGGTCCAGTGTTCCTCCACCTCCTGGTAACAATACCTGGAATCTCCCAGGAAGCCACGCCCTCCCTCAATCGGGGTCACTTTTTGCCCACCTGGTCCTGACCCCGCCCACCAGCATCAGGATTGGCACATATGACTCTGGATGGGCCAATCAGAGTGCCAGATCCCTGGCTAATCTGCATAATCCCAGCCCCCTGGCCTGAGTGATCGGTTCAGGGATGGGCACCCGACCCTGCTAGTCCGCGCAGAAGGAACAGTGGCATTGAAGCTCCGACACTCTGGAAGAGAGAGACTCAGTTTCCTGCTTCACCTGAACCCGGGTGAATGAGGTCGGCAGTGGCTGCAGCCACTGCCTCTGCAGGGAGCCTGAGAATAACGCTAACACGGAGGAGAGAAGATAAAATGGAGATTGAACCTTGGGGACATCATCCCAGCCCCTGGATATAGCCAAGCCTGAAGACACCTCTGGGTCATGTCCAATTACATGAGTCAACATATTCTCTCAAGGCAGTCTGACATGTTTTCTATCGCTTGCAACTGAATGAGTTCTCATGCCTGAAGCATTTAGATTCATTTAACACACAAACTAAGCACCTACCATGTGCTAAACATTGTGGGGAATGAAGTGGTAAGTCAGCCTTCAGGGTGCTATGAATCCTGCCCAGGGTAAAATAGTGGAAAAGGCTCCACAAAGGAGGTGACTTTTAATTTGAGTTTTGAAGGATTAATAGGAGTTCACCGAGCAGAGAAGAAAAGTGGGGGAGGAATTCTAGGTAAAGAGAACTGTCTGGGCAAAGGTTGAGAAGCAAGTGGGTAGAAGGACTGTTCAGAGAGTGATGTGTGGTCCAGAGTAGGTGGCAGCACCCACTGGGAGTGACTGGCAAAGAGGTCTGGAAAAGCCTGGATGTTCCTTAAAAGCAAGGAGGTAATAAGATTGGCCTGAAAGAGATCAGTTAGCTGCCCCCACAACGGCCACTTTCCCTTCGTGTAGAATGTGAGGAGGACACTTCCCGGCCCCTCCTGAACCCAGGCGGGGCCACTCGATGAGTTCTCAGCAATAGGGTGTGAGCAGAGGGGAAAGGTCCAGACCATGACTTTTAAGAAGAGAATGTGACATTTCCATCCTCTCTTCCCCCATCTGACATCGATGGGAGGGGGAGCCACAAGACAGGCCCCCAAATCACCCATAGAAGAAGTCACCCGCCAGCCATGACATCCTCATTGAACTGTTACCAAAGGAGAAATTAATTTCGGTTGTGTTAAGCCAATGAAGTGTGGGGACATAGTTGTCACAGCAGCTAGCATGACTCTAAGAATTCCCTAACTTCTTCCTTCCTAACAGGACTCTGGTTTTGTCCCTCCTCAATGTGCCCAGTCCCAGCGGATGAACGTGATTGGTTCCCACTTCCCTTGGTCAGTGATTCATCTAAGGATGGACATGTGACCCAGATCTGGCCGATGAGACATAAGGAGAAGTCTATTTCTATGCCTTTGTGAAAAAAGAGTTTGTCCACATTCCCCTCTCACTTGCTTTGGGAAACTATTGTGAATGCATGATGGTTGGTGCTGTGGCAGCCATCCTGTGTCCATGAGGAGAAATATCACTGTCACACTGAGGAGAGCAAAGAAGAAACATGGGGGGAAATTTAGGTCCTATTGACACTATTTGCCACTGCTCCATCCCTGGAACTGCCTACCTCTGGGCTTCTTGTTAAGTGAAATAATAAGTAATACTATGGTTTAAGGCACTCTTATCAAGTATTTTTTTCATTGCAGCCTAGAGCATTCCTATCTTACATGATCCACACCTTGAAAATGATTCTCAAGCTGCTGTGAGAGGACAATAGTGGCTGACCATGTAGGAACCTCTGGCTTCTCCCTGATATGTTCTAGAGGGTTTCTAGAGAGTTTGGGGACTAACTGAATTTTGGTAAATCATATTTGATGGAAAATATCTAATTTTTGGAATTCCCACAGGCAGGAAAGTGGGAGAAAAACAGTGGTTCCCCAGCTTGCTGATTTCTGGAGGAGCCCTCAAGGTGGGGGTAGAGGCTGCAGCGGGATTTACCCGACTGATAAGGTTTGGGCAAAGGGTACTCACTTAGGGACCTCCTTCAACCCTGGAATTTTGTGCAGCTCCAATTTCACATCGTCCAGGAGCTTCGCTACGTTCAAGGGCTCTTTTGCTCCTAAGTGGATCTGGAATGCGCCTTTCTACAAGCACGACCCAGTATACCTGACACTCACGGACAGTGTGATTGTCCCTGTCTGAGCCTCAGTCTCCTCATCTGGAGAATGGGGATGCCCACACCCGCCCTCAGCATAAAATAATGTATCTAAAGCTCCTACCCCGGTGTCTGATGCAGGCAGCTTGTTGGTGGATCGGGATTTTTAAGTATCAGTTTATCTTGGCCCTGAGTTAACTGGCGGTGCTGTGTGTTGCTCCCCAGGAGCTGAGGTTCCATCAGCTCCTACCTTTGTGTAGATACAGGCTCACACGCACAGAGCCAGGCTCCCCTGGGACACGGCTTCTCTCCAGCCTCCTGACTGTTGGCCGAAAGGCCAACACAGGCCTTTCCCTTCCTCTGCCCTCTGTTCCCTGGGAACAGATCCACCCCCATTCTCACAGCTGGGCCTTCAGAGAGCCCTCAGGTGTCCTGGCCCCTGGCACATCATTCAGGGTCTCAAACTCGAGGCCCACAGGGCAGATTCAACCTGACTCCCGGTCTGTTCGGCAGGCAGTGTTTTAAAATGGGAATGTGGGTCGTGGACTCACTCTCCTGGCTGCAAGCTCCACTCCTCCCTACTGACTATGCCCTCCCCCCAATTCCCACCTTTCCTGGAACTGCCTTTAGCCAGCAGGAATTTGAGTTTGCAGTTTGGGGAGGAATCTCAAAGCTGCCCCCTTCTGGGGAGCAGTGTGTGCCATGGAAAGCGCTGAGAAATCCGGGGCCCGGGTCAGGGAGCATCACCAGGTGCCTCTGGCTCACTGGGCCTGGGTCTACCCACTACAGTATCTGCAGTCCTGGGCACAGGATGAGCTCTTAGCAAATACTGTGTGAATGAGTGCGGTCTCATCCCAGCCGGAGACCATCTTTACTGTCTAATATTTCATCAGCTGGCTGGGGGGCCCGCTTTGCCGCTGCTGCTGATCTGTAACCACCTGCCTTTAAAAGAAAAGCCTGACCCGTAGAGGGCTGGGCAGGCCCGGGACAGGCCGCTCCCCGGATTGTAAATGCCAGGTCTGAGAGGAGGCGCCTGTAAAAACTGCCAGGGCTGCAGAACCTGGTGGAATGTTAAACACACGCTTGGAGCACCAGCCGAGCAGGGGTGCAGAGACACCCACAAATTAAAGAAAACGTTCGGGATCATTATGGGGAGAAACGGAAGTCTGTTGGACTTTGTTGGAGTTATCTTACACGCTGTAGTTTATGTTTAACGGAGGGGCCGTGGTATTTTCCAGGTTTGAACGGGCTGGGGTCGCCACTCCTCTTTGCCCTTCCCGGCTGGGGGAGCCGTGGGGCAGCGCGCAACTCACCAGGGGCGCGTGCGGGCCACTCGGACCGCCTGTCTCGCGGCGGCGGCTGCGTGTCCCACGGCGCCCGGAGGAGCACCTGCTGCGCGGCCGCAGCCCACGTCCGGGCGTTCCCGGACCCTGGAACGGGCGCCTTTGTGACC